CAATTTGTTCTGTGTTTGTGTCCTCTGCACTTGTTATGGGTGGGCTTGGGTTCTGATATTGCATTTTGTTCCCTCTTGTCATTTTGTGTAGCACTGTCTTTTGACCTTTGTTATAGATCTTTGTTGCAGTTATAACCTTAGCACCTACTGAAGTTCAGGTGCAGATCTAGAAAGTTTGGATTTATCCAGCTGTGCCTGGCTTGGGTCTGGCTGCTGTGTTCAGCTTTTCCTGTTGCTGCCCTTGGGGGTGAATCTGTTGTGCCCCTCTGGCAAGATGTTCTACTCCTGGACTAGCTGCGTGGTTCTGTCCCCTATATTCTCTGCAGGGAATGCAGCTGCAGGGTTTCACCCAGGTCTGTATGCAAGGCCTGAGCTGAGTCTGGAGGGAACAAGGTGGAGTAGAGGGGAGAGGCAGCTCTCCTACACACCCACTGGGCCTGGGCTAGGACTGGATCTGGTGGTTCCCGGAACAAGGCAAGAATTCCTACTTGGCGGGCGGGGTTGGGGGGTACTAAGGAGTCATGAGGCTTGCCCCAAGGGGGTGGAATAGGGTCTCACTCATGCTTCACCTGGGCTGGGACCAGTAGGTCACGATGGCACAGGGTAGTTGGAAGCTCTCCCATACACTCGCTGGGCCTGGGCTAGGACTGATTCTGGGGGTTCCAGGAATGCAACAGAAATTCCTACTCAGTGTGTGGGATGGGGGAGGTGCTGCGGAGTAGTGGAGAGCGTCCCAAGGGGGTGGAAGAGGGTCTCACCCACGCTGTGCTTTGGCTGGGACCTGTACGTCTTGCTGGTGCAGAGTACCGGGAATCTCTCCCACACACTCACTGGGCCTGGGCTAGGACTGGGCCTGGGGGTCCCTGGAATGCAGCAGACATTCCTACTTGGTGAATGGGGTGGGGGAGGTGCTACGGAGTGCTTGGGGGCGTCCCAAGGGGGTGGAAGAGGGTCTCACCCACGCTGCATCTAGGCTGGGACCAGTCCATTATTTTTTTTGTTTGTTTGTTTTTTATTTTTATTTTATTTTTAATATATTTGGTTTAGGGTCTCACAACGCAGCTCCTGTTTTTAGCCTCCCCAGCACTAGGATTACAGGTGTGCATCACCACACCGGGTCTTGGTGGCTCAGTGCACTCAGGGACAGGGGCAGGGCCAGCGCAGCATGTGGTCCCTGTGTGTGCCTGAGCAGGCACTTAGTCTGCTGAGCTATCTTGCCGGCCCTTATCAGCATTATTCCTTTAATGTTGTTGATAATATTCATTATTCTTTTGTCCTGATTATAATTGTCCTTTTCATGAAGCCATTAAGAAAGTCATTAAGAAACACCAGGGTAAATCTCTTTCTATCGATTATGTTTTAATTTCCTAAAATCCTTTATAATTCGCAAAAATATTGAAAAATAATTGTAGATACTTTATGATAGCTATATTGCAGCTTGGAAATAAAATGTAACAACATATTTTATATAAGATTATGTTTCAAACAGGTTTTAATACTGAAAAATTGATAAGGGTATCAAAATATATTGAGATGTTTATTTTCTTTATAGAAAATTACTAGCATGGTATGCTAAATGCAGTTATTTTCATAGTAAGGTTTAGTAATTTGATAAAGAGCTTTGTTACTGATTTTTTTTTTTTTTTTGGAAAGCTGTTAAATTTCTTCCTTAGCTGAGGTCATTGCCTTGGTATTTGACATTCCTCATACCTGGTGTTGACTTATTGTATCAAGAAGCAAAATATCAAGAAGAAAGTCACTACTTTCACAGGGGTATGTGAATCCAAGCATAGTCGTGTTAATAGCTACTACACATGTTGTTATGTGCTGTTTCTAAGCTGACCAGAGACAGGATCCTGGACATTATTTAGGATAAAACCACAGTACACTAAAGCCCTGAGAAATATTTAAGAGTTCTTAAATATTGTACCATCTTGCCTTTATATACTGATTAGGAATAGAGAAATGTGGCTTTAATTTGATAAGAGAAAATGTAAAAACGTTTAGAATTCAAGGTACTTCATTTGAATTACATAGTTTCTTCAGTGTCTCTAGAGCTTGCTTCATTCATTTAACAAAAAGTTTTTGAGTACTCATGTGTTAGACATCCTGGAGAAGACAGCAGTGAACAAAATAGACTACATCTGTACTCTCGAGCTGGTAGTCTTATTTCACAGAGATAGCAGAAATTCAAATAAATATGTGATCCATCAGATTATAACAAGTTCTATGGAGTAAAATAATGCAGACTAAGAGGTAAAAGATAGACTGGGGGTGTGCTGAGTGGTCTGTGTGGAAGATTCAAGGAATAGCTTGCTCATGTGGCAGAGCCTAGAGGAATGAAAACGTGAGGGAGGTTCAGGCCTTTCCTCTATCAGACTGCCCGCTGAATACCTCTGCTTACTGAGGGATCTCAGACTTGATGTGGTCCAGCCTGAGCTGGTGATATCCTTCTACAACTCTTCCAGCTTTAGTCCTCTTCTTCTCAGAAATTGGCATCGATCTTTCTCCCAGATGCTCATATAAAACATATAAGTTGGTTCTTTTTTTTAATCCTTCTACTGCAAGTTGACCTTTCTAGTGGATTTACTTCCAAACCTTCTCCCTCATCCAAATTATCTCCATATTTAGTACTGCTGCTCTGGTCAAGGCTAGCATCTCTCACCCTGACTATACAGAGACCCTTGCTATTTTTGCTCTTGTCAGCCTAATCTAGTCTTTAATTCAGATCCTGCCACTCTGCTGCTCAACACCTTCCAGTGGCTTCCCATTCCAACAAAGATATTTTCCCTGGGTATACCATTCTAGGTTAGCAGTAGTTTTCTTCTGTTACTGTTTAGATGGCGTACCATTGTCTTTACTTTTCATTACTTCTGTTGAAAAGTCAATTGTGTACCATATTTTTGTTCCTTTGAATGCCTCTGTGTGGTTTGTTTTTGTTTGTTCTGATTGAGTTTTTTTCCATAATTTTATTGAGAGACAAATAGCAGTGAGACAGTTTCAAATCAAATTGGACAGTTTCAATAATTAACACATTGTGTACTGTCTTCCTAGTGGTCATTTGCTCTGATTGAGTTTTATAGGGCTTCTTGAATCTATGACTTGATGACTTTCATTAGTTTCAGAAAATTTAAATTTTTTTCTATTAATTTTAGCTTCATTCTGTCCTCTTACTCTATTTCCAGTTTCATGCATTAACAGACCTCTGTGTCTTATATTGCTTTGAGACCTTTTCTTTATTATCCTCTTTGTTTTTCCCCTTTTGTCCTCAATCTGGGTATTTTTTACTGATTTGTCTTTCAGATCACTAACCTTCTTTTCCATTGTGTTTACTATCTTTCTGAACTATATTGGATGTATTGTTTTAGGATTTCCATCAGACTCTTCTTTGTTAATTCTAGTTCTCTGGTATAGTTCTACATCTTTTCATCTATTTTGTAATCATATTAACATTATTTATTTCAAAGTTTTGCTTGATGACTGTAAAGTGTTATTTGCCTGTGCATCTGTGTGTTTCACCTCCTCTTTTTGCCTTTGATCTAATCTTATTTCTTGCTCTGCCTGATAGTTTTGGGCTAAATTTCAAATATGTGAAAAATTAAGGAGTCAGTTGATGAAATGATTGCAGCATCCTATAGGAGGATGTAGATGCATCGTGGACCTTGTTTAGATAGGCCTGTGTGCATCCTGCCCTTCCTCCTAGGGCTCTGGGATACCCGAAACTCCAACATTGGCACCCCAGTACCACAAGACACCTGAAGGCTTTGCTCAGCGTTTTCGTCTCTCTCCTTCTGCTTTCTGCTTAGGTCTTGTCTTTTCCTCTTGGTTTTTGAGATAGTCAAGGGGAAATTGCATCAGATTTTTGGGCTCACTTCTCCAGGATCCCCTAAATATCCTTAAGTGGCTCTAGCCTCTGTTTCCTCAGTCCAGAGAGACTGCAGAAATTCTCAGCTACTACTGTTTGCTGCTGAGGTCCTAGCAGGTTTCTGGAGAGAACGAAGTTCCCAATGTGCAGGTCCTTCTTGTCCATCTGTGGTGTTTTCTGATGTCTTCAGTAATTTATTATGTATATTTGTGCAGCATATAAGCTTGTTTTCAGTTGGAATAGGTCTGATATAGGCTATTTTCTTATGGCCAGAAATGGAGGTCTTTCATTGCTCATAGAATAAGGTCTATATTTCTTTCTTCTGGCCCAAAAAACTTGCCATGGTCTGCTTCCCCTTTCATATCATGCTTTCCAACCCCAATCTGTACTAGACATGCTGTATTTCTCTTTTCGTTGAATATATCAAGCTTCTTTCTGCCTCAGGGACTTTGCATTGACTGTCTCAGTTGTTCATCCTGGTTTTTGCACAGTGGGCCCCTTGATATTATTTTATGTCCTTTCATTTGATAAGTCCCATGAGGTTTTCCTCTCTAAGGTATCCCTTAGTCAGTTACTATATGTACTTACTTAATTTCCATCTCTTCCTACAATGTAAACTATGTTTCTGCCTTGTATAGTAAATTTTCAATGAATACTAATCAAATGAATAGATGAATAAATAAAACAGGTACTGATTTTTGAAGGAATTTTTCAGTCTTTCTATGTAATCCTAAGTGGTACATAAAGAACCATGGTTTTCTTTGCCTTCATAGTATTTTTATGTAAAATATTCTAGAAAATGTAACTTTTATGTGTTTATGGTATAATGATTAATATTTTGTTCATCTTGATAATCTGATTTTTATTTTCTTATATCTATAAATTATATATTATATATTTTGCAAATGTTGTAAAAATAGATAACTTGAACTCTCAAGATAAAATTGACTAAAAGTAATGATATGACTTTATTTTTGGTCTTACATGAAATGGCTTCTTTAAAAAAATGACATTGTATGTTTTTATTTAACAGGAATGGTTTTTAGGAAAAGCACTGCATGATGAAGAATCTACAATAATTCACCATTATGCCTTTTCTGAAAATCCTACAGTTTTTAAATATCCAGATTTTGCTGCCGGCTGGGCTCTTAGTATTCCACTTGTTAACAAGTAAGAATTTATCATTAGGGTTTTTTTGTTTTTGGTGGTTCAGCTTTTGTTTCTTATTTCACTGAGTTTTGTTAGTGATGGATCTCAGGATCACAAATGAGTTTTCCAGCTAGAGGCATTGTGTGATAGAGTGGGACAAGGAAACCAGGAGCCAGGCCCCTGAGGGCTCTTGCTTCAGCTGTGTCACTTATTAGTCCCCTCAGACAAATCACTCAGTCTCTCCTTCCTACTACTCACTTGCGGAATAAGGCAAATAAGTTATATAATTAAGGGAGAGCAGGTAAGTCTTGAGAACTGTGCACACGGAAGCATTATTGTGAAGAGAACTGGTTTGTTGTTGCTGTAACTTGCATCCCCAATAAGAAAGTGGATCATGAACGTGCTGGGGCAGAGAATTGATGACGGAGCGTGTGTATGCGTCTGCATACTTGTACCCTGCAAGGCAAGGGGCAAAGCTGGTGGAGGGTGCTATAGGTAGTTACGCCTAGCTTTCATACACAGCAGAGCTGTGGTGATACTGTTAGGTGTGGAAAGCAAAGGTGATAAAGTTGTAATTCAGGAGATGCATAGTTGTTCACAGGACCTTGTTAGTTTGAATTCTTTAGATTAATTATGTGTTTTTGTTCTTTAGAGAATAAAAAAGTTGATATGACATCTGCAGTGTTTGGATCTTCAGGTATAATTTCTCATTAAATATCCTATTTCCAAGGTTTGAGATCTTAAAAAAATGGGGTAAAAGATTCCTTGTAATTCATGGCTGACTAAAAGTTCTTCACTATTGCCTTCACCATGGAAAGTCTGTACAGTGTAATACCCTCCATCCCGGTGGGAAACCTGCACAACACTGCCTCAGCGCAGCTGCCTGGGTGGGGCTGCAGGTAGCTAAGTGGTACAGAGTTTGCTGAGCATGTGTGGGCCATAGGTTCCCTTTCCACAAAGCACAAAGTCAAAATCAGAAGCAACAAAAACCTGTAATTTCTTTTTAAAATTTATCTTTAACTGATGCAATACATAAAAAAATTATACATGTTAATGAGGTATTATGTGATGTTTTGGTATATGTATCCCATATATATTGTATAAATCAAGTTACATATATCTGTCTTCTCATTTATTATTATGGTGAAAACATCCAAACTCCTTTCTTCAAGATTTTTGACATACAGTTCATAATTATTTATAATCACTGTTCCCTACAAATCACATCAGAACTTCTTACTCCTAACAGTAACTTAATACCCATTTGATTTGACCAACCTTTTCCCAGCCTCTTTCCTATCTGTTCTCCCAACCTCTTATAACCACCCCTGCACTCTCCACTTGTATGAGACCAACTTTTTTCTTTTTTTGAGACAGGGCCTAGCTGTGTATTCCAGGCTGAGCTTGAACTTACTTATAGTTCTGACTGGTCTCAAACTCATGGCAGTTCTCTGCCTTTGATCTCTTGGGTTTTGGGATTACAGACAATGCACCACCACATCTGGCTTGGGGACCAGCCTATTTGATATTCCACATCTTGAGTGAAATCATGCAGTTCTTATCTTTTGTGCCTGGCTGATTTTTTTTAAACATAATTTCCAGTTCTAACCATGTTGTAACAAAGGACAAGACCCCTTTTTTTTGTTATTACTTAATAGCATCCCGTGCTATAAGCATACCATGTCCACTTTATCTGTTCATCAGTTGATGGACATTTAGGTTGTTCCCCTCTTTTGTGTGCTGTGAATAATGCTACACCCAATATGGGAGTGTAGGTGTCTCTTCAATATACTTGATACCATTTCCTTTCAATAGATACAGCCTGTAGCAGGGTACCTGGATCATATATGTAGTTCTCTTTCTAATTTTTTGAGAAGCTGCCATGTTGTTTTTCATGCTAATCTAATGTACATGTCCATAAACAGCATGGGTTTCTTTTTTTCCCACTTCCTCACCAGCCCTTGTTGTCTTTCATCTTTCTGATAATAGTTATTCTTAATGGGAGATCTCACTGTAGTTTTAATTTTCAAGGTCTCTCTTTTCGCAGCCTGGATCAAATGTGTATAATTATATGCAAAGTTTCCCCTGTCTGTTCTTAGAAGGAAGAAGGGGTGAGGGGCAAAAGAAGTAGTTGCTGTTCCAACTTGTCCTCCACTGGTTTGCCTGACTTTGCTTCTCCTAGAGAAAAGGGCCATGAGCTTTACCCTTCAGCAACAAGGTCATGTTTATTCTCATGTTGAACCAGCTTTGGCTTGCAGCAGCTTGAAGGCCCGGAGTTCCCAGATCACACTCTTTTATTGCTATGTGCAACAGTCTTGTACGGAGGGCCCAGTTCAGCTGCTTTTGTTTAGTCCAGACTTAAAAAATAGAAAAAGCTTTGAGCTTTATGTGTTTGACTGAGTCCCTGTTTCTTGTCCTCTTAGGATTTTTTCCAGTATGGCTGAGGAGACTGTCTTGGTTCCTCCTCACTTTACTTTGATTCATAGTGTGGAAAGATCTAGGTTGAATTTCCCTGCAAAAAATTGTGTGGATTCAGTTTCTCTAACTTGGATTTTTGATTGGTGTTTGATGTAGAATTCAGAATGTAACCATAGGCTTTGTGCATGGTAGGAGAGGGCTCTCTTGACCCTGTTGACCTCTGCCCCCATCCATGACTTGGGGATTATAACTTCTTTGTAAACCTGTTTCCCTCCCATTCTCCATAGTCTGCCTAAGTCCTTTAAGGAGATACAAGCACATCTCTGCCTATGCTGTGAAATGTGGTTAGTACGACAGCTACTTCTTCCCCCAGGAGTAAAGTGAGAAACAGAGCACTTAGGATGACCCTATATAACATTTGTAGGCCATAACAATTTCTCTGAAGCTTATAGACCTCCTACTTCCATTTCTCCCCTCCATTAGGGCTTTCTTCCAGAAGGTAAATGCTGGTCCTCAGATTCTCATAAGGGGCTTTGTTTTCTTTAGTGTCCCATCAGTGTCCCTATTTTCTTCTATCCATGACTTCCTTGGAGATCTTTTGGTGTCAAGTTCATTTCTTGTGATTGTGCTAGGCATTAGAAGAAACTGTTTTTGCTTCTGTTTTGACCGCTTAGATGAAAATAATATCTTTTGAATACATCTTGGGCTCCTAGCATTTGCTTAAAAGAATAGTTTTGCCCAATTCATTGCTTGACTTGCTGGCATTAAGGTATGATTTGATCTGCACATCTTCATGGGCCTGTGAACTCTGCCTTCCAGTTTACTACTTATAAGATGTGGATACATCCACAGTCTAGGCAGATTCAGTTGGCTCTGGCTAACACTCACCTCCTGACTATCTTATGCTGACCAGTTTTGTAATGGTTATGTGGAGTTCTCATAGGAATGCTAGAGGAAACCCTTTAGGAGACCATAGGTACACGATCCCTTTTCATGCCCTATTCTTTAGGTCATTGAACATAACTCTTGATAGCCAAGTGTGCAGCCCCCATACTTGTCTCAGGTCTTTCTTTCCTATTAGATAGAACTGAGAGCCTCCTCGCTGCATGCTTGTATGTCTTAGTCAGTTTGGGCTGCTATAACAAATACCATGAGTTGGGTGATATGAGTGACAGAAATATGTATATTGCTCAGAGGAGGCTAAGACAAGAGCACTTGTAGGTTCAGTGTCTGGTGAGGGCCCTCTTCTGGTCTGTAGATAGTATTCTCTTATCTTCATGCAGTAGAAGGGGCATATAAGCTCCCTTTCATAAGGGCATTAATCCCGTTCTACCTCCATGATGTGACCACCTTCCAGAAGCCCAAAGCCCAGCTATAATATGTTAGTGTTACACTTAGAACTAAAGCAAGGCACAGAATATCCATTGTCACTGTTAACAGCTAGATTGAATCTGCCAAGTTGATTTCTCCCAGTTTTAAAACTAATGTGCTTGCTTTATTTCCTCCCTTTATTGGAATGGTATCAATTCAGTTTTAGATGCCAGCATCAGGAACCACTGACCTTGATTAAGAGAATATTATTGCTATAATTGGAGGTGGAGTCTTTGGTTGGTTGGTTAGGCAGTGTAGCAGTGTTTGTGAGGGGCCAGATTTTTTCTGTCTTTCCTGTCTATAGTGCATCAGTTTGTGCCAAATCTGGTTCCTTTCGTAGTTTCATTGTCCAAAGAGGGCTACCTATTTCCCACTTATTTCCAATACTTCTGCTCCATGGAAGGTAAGTGCTTATTCTGCCTAGTTGGGCCAATTTAAGACACTGTACCAACCCTAGAGTTGCCTGGGAATTTCAGTGGTTTGGTTGGCCCTGACTGATCAGGCTGTGAACCTGGAGTCTATTTAATTGATAGACTCAGTATTTAATAAAAAAATTTGATTAAGAACTTTGTTTAAGAAGAAAAAGGAAACTGCATTGTACAGATATGAACACTGCCCACCATGAGGATGCTGATTCTTTCTGTTTAATTTCTTTGACTAGATGGCCCACTTCTGAGGCAAATTAAGAATTTGCAGTAACTTAAGTGTTTCTTCTGCCCAAGTCATCATGACAAGCTGGATACTTAAAACACATTTCCAAATATCTACTTTCTTAGACTCTTTTCTACCAAAAATCATTTTTGGCTTTGCAGTCCCACATCAGTGAGTTGAATAATACTGTCTGGTGCTCAGCATTTCCAGCACCATGTGATGACAGTTAAAATTGGACCCATATCTTATACCATGCACTAAATTAAAGTCAAATGGATCAAAGATCTAAATATTAAAACCAGTGTTAATTCTGCTGGAAAAGAGAATACATAAAACTCATAAAGACATTGGTGTAGGCAAAGATTTTATGAATAAAATTGATCACACAGGAACTATCACAAAGAATCAACAACTGGGATCTCTTATTAAAATGTTTTTTGCACAGCAGAAGAAACCACTATGAGAGTGAAGAGACAACTCACAATGTGGGAAAAAGTATTTTCCAGTTGTTCCTCAGACAAAGAATTACTATTGAGAACATAAGAACTCAAATATATCTTATCTCCCAAATTTAAACACCCAGTCCAAAAAATGAGCATCTGGAATCAGTATACATGCCTCAGATTAAGACATACAAACAACAAATAATATGAAAAAGTGTTTAACATCACTGGTTATTTGAGTGATGCAGATTAAAACAACACTGAGGTGCTCATCCCAGAAAGAACGGCTGTTGTCAAGAAATCAGCCAATAACAAATGCTGAAGGGGTTGTGGGGAAAAAGAAACTCTTTTCCATTGTTGGTGGGAGTGTAGACTGGTGCAACTACTATGGAAATCAATGTGAAAATGCCTCAAAAAAACTAGGCTTGGAAGTCCATTTTTCCCAGCTATTCTCCTGGGAATTTCCCAGAGAATTAAAAATATTATACCACAGTGATATATGTGCATCCATGTGTAGCACAATTTGTCATAGCAAGATCATGGAAACAACCCAAATGCCCATCAGCTGAGGCATGGATAAAAATGATATGCTCTTTTTATACTCTGGGGTACTACTTGACGATAAAGAAGGATAAACTGGAGACTTTTATAGGTAAATGGATGCAAATTCAGACCATACTGGTAAGTGAAATAAATCAGATGCACATGTATATAAACATGGTTTTGTCTCCCTAGTGTGAGAAGTGAAAGTAAATAAGATCCAGAATGTACAATTGATGCTGTAGAATGGGAAGAAACTGCTCAAAAGGAAAGAGAAACTGGGATGAAGGAATGGTGAAAAGAAGAAAGGGAGAAGCAAAAAACTATATATAGAATATTTAAGATAGTTATATTACTAATTTCTCTTAGTTCATTGGAAAGAAAGAGTTCAAAAGAAAGATGCTGATATTGTTTGGATGATTAAATGCCAATATCTTGTACTCTGAGTAATTTAAAGATAGTGTGCAATGTATTAACTACTGTTACCCTGTTGTTTTGAAAAAAAACAAAACAAAAAAAAAAAAAACATTTCCAGCAAAAGAGCCACACGATGGTGTTCTGTCCGTATTACTTTATGGAAATGTTGCATCTTTGTAGAAGCTCTTATTTTCCAATAAGATAATTTCTTCAAATATGTATCATTATAGGAAACTTACTGGTTTTCTTCATCTCTGTACTAGCAAGCGTTACCAGGTTTTCCTTTGTTGTCTTGCTCTGTTCATTGATTCATAAGCAGGACTAGAAAAGTGAGCTCAGAGGTTGGCTTGTATTGATTTGAAGAGGCACCAAATCTTGTATATATCTTCAGTTTAGCTGGTTGTGTTATTAGAATGGTGCTACTGGGGGGCACAGCTCAACAACTTTTAAATATAAGGACAACTGAGTGACAGGTCTTAAGGAAATGTGTTAGCTAAGTAGCTAGAATCTCTGGTCTTGGTTGGTTTTGGTATTGTTGGTTACTAAAATGCGTATTTGAAAAAAATCCGTGGTATGTTGCTGTATGCATAGGAAAATGAAAAGCACCTTCCACTATTACAGGTTGCCTTTTAGCTTAGGTGAATGACCTGTGTCACCGTAGGACCTGGACATACTTTTTTTAATGAAAAAAGTAAAAAAAAATGCATAACAAAATAGTAGGAGAATAAAAACAATTAATACAGTGCATATTCTCATCATCGAAGCAGTTACTCAGAGTTTACGATATGGGCATAAAAATTCTCTAATTGACATTAGCACTATCTTCCCTTTCAGTGAACCAAGGGACACTAATAGTATAGCTAACTTGTATTTTTCTCCGTTTTCCCTTCCTTTCTCCTTTCTCCCATCCTAGTTTCTTTGTCTATTTTTGCAATATTTTAAACCTTGTTACTCTTTTAGTTCTAACAAGCAGAGAGACAATTGAGGTTTTTTACTCCCTGTGCCTTGCCCTGAGTTTTTCCTAAAAGAAAGCCTTTCAAGAACTAAATGAGCAAGAAACGTGAAAAGTTAAAAAAAAAAAAAAAAAAAAAAAGAGCCCATGTTTAAGGTAACAGTTTGAAGGTGTTTGTTATGAAGAGGTGTGTGGCAGGAAGCCCATGGAGGGATGTTTTCTTTCTGTGGACTCAAGAAGAATACTGCATGGTTTGGTCAGATTTTGAAGGCGTGTGGCGTGGGTCTAAATCCTAGAGTCACCCTGATAAAGTTGATTTATGAAAACTCATTGCATCTGAGTAGAATCATACTAGATAGGAGTCTACTTGCCAAGCTGATTTTTCTCCTCTTAATATACGTCAGGAGTATATTTGAGAATGTCGTTCTCTGTGAAACTCACCCATTCATTCTTCAAGGTCTGTGGGCAGATATTGAACTGGATTGTGACAAATACTACATGAGCCTTCTTTTGTTGTTCCCTGCTGCTAATGTATTTCTGTCAACTATGAGGCATATGCTTTATGCCTAAACATAAACTGTAATCTACATCTGCCTCTTTTCTCTTTCCTGTAATCAGACAGAGATTTTTAAAACTTTAATTGATGTACAGTTATAATATTTATGTGTTATTTGATGCTTATGCTCAATATGTAGTGATATTACATTGAGGTTTTTTTAGTTATCATGCATATACAATGAATTATTTATTAACTATGATGACCTTACCATACTGTAGAACTTAATCCTGCTAAGTGTATTTTTATACCAGTTAACCAACCTTTCCTACCTTTACTTCCTTTATATCCTTTGTTAGTCATTATCCTGCTGTGTAATAAGAATTGTTAAAAAAAAAACTTGTTCATGTTCCAGTCACACTAAGGTATAGTTAAAAACTCAGTAAAATTTTTGAAACTTATGAACCTTCCTTTTACACTATTTTCTTTGTAGTTAAAATATTTATTAGGGGATTGGTGATTGAAGTTGATGACCCAGTGGTGGGTCCTGTAAACAAATATAGACCTGCATATTATTTAAGTGATTTTTTGATAAATATGTAATTCTGCTTCAGTCAGGAAGAATGAAAGAATATATAGCTTTCCTTCACTGAAGGAGTTCATAGTGCACATTTTGTTCAGGAGCAGTGGACAAAATTTCAGTGGAAGAATTTCTCAAAAAAGGTGTCATTGGATTTGGTCTTGGACCAGAAAAGGTTACTGAGTAAAGGTTGGCTACATGCACATTAGACAGCTGTCCAGTGGGGAGGAGCATGCGCAGCAGAGCAAGTGAGTACTCGGAAGGCCCATGGTGAGGAGAGCTGGGCCAGTCAGAATTTTGGGGCTTCTCTGGAAGAGAAGCCATAGAGGGTTATTTTTTTAAAGGAAAAAAGTTACAAATAAAAGTAACTTTTATTCTTTCCCAAATCTACATGCTTACCCCCCCCCATATACCATAACCTAAGAATTCATTAAGGTTATTAAAAGTAGTAACTTTTATTTTTCTTTTGACCTCTTCTGTAATTAATAAATATAAGGGTTATTATGGTCAACAAAGCTCTTTTTTTCCAAGAGATTGGATTGGATTGGATGTTATTGAGCAGATGTTGAAATAATGAAGGCTGTATCTGCAACAGTTTTGCATTTGTACTGGTCAACAAACTATTGTATTACTCCTTTCCATCAAGGAAATTAAACTCTTACTTTTGTCTTAAAGTTTATATTTGAGTCTATTTTCAAATATCAGTCTCAGGAATATATTATTCTTGTTTGATACTTTTTCTGGTTTAAAAAAAAAATCATTGTCTCTATTTTTTAGGCTCACCGAGAGGTTAAAGAGTGAATCCTTGAAATCTGACTTTACAATAGATTTAAAACATGAGGTATGTCTTGGCTTGTTTGATTGAAAGTGTTAATAATGAAGAACTAATCTTGTTCAGGAGATGTCATTCAGGGCTGGACACTCACCTACCATGCACAAAGCCCTGAGTTTCATCCTCAAGAAACTGGACAGAATTTATGTGTTTTGATATAAAAGGTGTTTTGTGTTCCCTAATAGTACATTTTCCCAATCCATACCTGCTTTCTCCCCACTAATTCCACAGCAGTCTGATGAGTTAGGACTTTCTGTTTTAAGCTAATTTTAGTAATGGGGTTACAGAAATCAGGCCAACATAGGAAGAAATGGCACCCAGGAGGCTTAGGAGGCAGCTTACTGTACCAGTGGGCTTGACTGGGATCTCTCCCAAAGAGTCAGTCCCACCCAGGGAAGTCTTGGGTTTTTTATAGGGATCACAAGTAGGGAAACAGATGTGGTGCGTTGTGACTGGAGGGTTGGTGACATCCTAGGTTGCTAAGGGAGTTTAAATGTTGCAGATTACATCACAAGGCTGTCAGTAATACAAAACATGATAGTGAACATGGTGGTACACACCTGTATTCCCAGTGCTGGGGAGGCTGAAAAGAGGAGGATCACTATGAGTCCGAACTACATAGTGAAACCCTATACCAAATACATTTTAAAAAAAAGCATGGGTTATACAGAGGAAGAAATATCCTGTTATATTTTAAGTTATATCGCAAGGCCAAAGTTATGCAAAGGCAGAAAAGACAGGTTACACAAAGGAACAGTTCAAGTTAACTTTTTTTTTTTTTGTACCAGGGATCGAACCCAGGACCTTGCACTTGCCAGGCAGATGCTTATGCTGCTGAGCTAACTTCTCAGCCAAGTTACATTTTTGGGGCCATCTGTCAGACAAGCTTATACAAAAGAAGAATGTTCTGTTGTCAAGTTTGTCCTGGATGGACACATCTGGTCTTGGCAGGCCTCCTGGACAGGCTTTTTGACAGGATTTCATTTAAAATTTTAATTTTCTCATTCAGTGTAGGTGGAGAAGAAGCAGTGAAAAATATTGAATGTCATGATTCATGATTCTTTCTTTTTAAAGTAGGTAGGTGGGTCCAGAAGTAGATTTCAAAAAAATGCGAAAATGTCATTAAAAGTATCTCTGATCTTATCTTGGTGCTTTGGTTATACACATACTGCTCTAGACTGGATGTTTGTGTGCATTCCCCCCCCCCCAAAAAAAAGCAGATTTAAGTGGAATTCTTAATGTAGTGGGATTTGGGAAATGATTAGGTCATGATGTTGGAGTCCTAATGAAGGGAATCAATGCCCTGATGAAACAGACCCCAGAGAACCATTTGTCTCCTCCCGCCATGTGAGGACACAGGAAAGAGATGGCACCTGTGAATCATGAAGCTGATGATTATTGAATATGGGTCTGCTGTCGCCTTGATCTTGGATTTCCAGTCCTCCAGATCTGTGAGGAATAACTTAATATTCCTGGCAAACTACTCCATGTGTGCTATTTTGTTCTAGCGATCTGAACATAATAAGACATTTGACTCCTGTGTGCCTGTGCTTGGCTTTCTAGAGTAGAACTGAGCCAATTGGTACCAAGCATGCAGCTGTGGTGTGCCACGCTGGCCCCCTGGCATATGTGTGATTGCACTGCATTTCCTGGTTACCTGTGACCAGTTATCTTGAAACAGCAGATGTTCTTGCTATGCATTGCTCCAAATCACCAGTTAGCAGGGTTCCTTTTGCATTGTATTTGTGGGCATGTCTGATTATCTGACAAGTCTTGCTTTTCACTGCAGGAATGTATGTCTAAGGACATTGAGGTGACTCTTGACCTGTTATTCAGTTCACCTGCTTGGGCAGCCTTCCATGGGTGAAAAGCATGCACGCAAGGCTTTTTCATTTGTTGGATGTTTTCAAATGATGAAACAGATTATTTGAGAACAAATATATTTAATCTTTGCTTCTACAAAAAGGAAAGAATGACTGTTTGAAAAACCACACTAGAAATATTAAATGAGTCCATTCTGGAATAGATTCTTTGAGATTCTGTGAAATTTTCTAATCATTTAACAAAATATCTGTGCAGCCCACTTGGTTTAAGAGAGAAAATTTACCAGTAGATTTGAGGTTACCTATGTTTTTTCTCAGTGGTGGTCCCCTTTGCTAAGCCATATGGAGAGAATGTTATGCCCCCAAATTAGAGACTATATACTCTACTCTCCATTTATGAAAATTTAGCAGGAAGTAGGCCATAATGTAAGCTTAAAAAATTTCAAGTGATTGCTATATAAACTACATTAATACTAAGTTAGATGTAATAACAAAGACACAGTAATGACACACCTGAGTGTATTTGATCATAAAGAAAAATTTATTATTTAGAAAGTGGGTCATAGTTAAGCAGAAAGAAATCCAGAGCATGCATCTTTAATTCTTTCTCCCTTTTATTTCTATTCTATGACATATGAACATATTTCTGAGTAACACATAATTTTGCACCTTGTTGGACTTTATATGCATAGAACTGCACCATGAATTATTCTGATCAGAGATTGGTCTGTGTTAGTGCATGCAGCTCTGGCTAACTTATTTGCACTTAGATGATTACTAGTCTTGATCTCTTATCATGTGTGACTGTGTCAAAATTCATTCACTTTATTTTTCCTTTTATGAGGTTTCTGAGGGGCTCCTGTCTTTTGCCCTTACGGTCATGGTTCCTGTGGCTGTGTTGGCATGTGATGGGATGACCATCTCTAAGACAGAGGCTTTGGAGCTTTGCTCTCTGTTTTTATTAGTACATGTTTACTGTATGTGATGTTTTCTGTGAAGTTGTATATAACATTTTTTTTTGGTCACCCAATATATTTGTTATCTGGTATTGTGGTTTTGGTTATTGATTCCTGACTTAGTGTTTTTGTAGTCTGTATCAGTTATTTGACATAAGTTTAGCCTCACCTGATGGCCTAACTCATGCCCAGTTTTCACACAGAGAAAAGGATGTGTATTCTCTCTTGTAGAGCTCTAGTGCTCCCCTCTTCAGTCTGGTTAAAGTATGTGTTAATTGTACTACTGTTCAGATATTTTCTTATGTTCCTTTTTTGCATTGTTTCTTCTTTTGGAGGGAGAGTGATTTATCATTTACTAAGGGAACAATGTAGAAATCTTCCATGTAAAGGTAGATTTGACAGTGAATCCTCATGGAACTGTCAGCTCTTGCTTTTTTGTACTCTGAGGCAATGTTAATGTACCAGGCTAGTGCTGGCCAAATAGCTCAGCACATTAAAGCGCTTGCAAGCAGGTGCAGGGGGCAGAGGTTCAATCCCCGGGCCTGCTGTGCTGGCCCTGCCCCCAGGGGGCACAGAGACAGCAATTGAGACTGGGCATGGTGGTGCATACTTATACTTCCAGCTCTTGGGAGGCTGTGAATAGGTGAATCACTAGGAGTCCAATCTAGTAGTGAGACCCTGAACACCTTGTAGACCCTTCCCTAAAATACAGAAAAAAAAAAAAGTACCAGGCTAGTTTAAAATTATTACATCTTCTTAGTGGATTTGTCATCTATAGTAATGGTCTGTTTATTTTATTGGCCTAAATATTTGTACATTAACTTTTTTGGGCTTTATAATCTTCCATCTTTTAAACTTTTTGCATCCTTTTTATTTTCTTTAATTTTTTATTTATTTATTGGGTACACAGTCTTTCTGTGCAGTTCAGACTCATAGTGATCCTATCCTCTGTCTCAGTTTCTTCAGCACTGGGATTACAGGAATACACCACCACACATGGTTTTGGGGCAGGCACAGCACACCCAGGGTTCTAGGTCTCACATGGCATGTGGTACCAGGGATCGAACTCAGGAACTTGAGCTTGCCAGGCAGATGCTTAGACTGCTGAGCTCTCTCTCTCCAGACCACTTCCTTATTTTTAGATGTGTCTTTTTTAGAAAAGAGGACATACCTTTTTTTCCTTCTTGGTTTGATCATCATGATCTTAAACTCGGAAACACATTTCTATTTTATATTGATTATGATTACTACTATAGTTGGATTGGTTTCTATCACTTTTTCCACCCCCTCCTTTTCTCTCTATTGTTCTTTTAAAATTTTTTCGCTTTCTTTTTTCTTTTTAGTTTTTGTTCATATTTTTCTTCCTTTACTATTTTGGAAACAGAATCTTTCTTTATAGGTTATTTCATATGTCTTAACATGCATTCTTAACCTAACAGTGGCTAGTTAATGCCCAGAAAATTGAAGGACTTTAGAGTAACTTAACTGTGTTATCTCACTCTCGTCTCAGGTGCTATTATTGTCTAGTAGTTTTGCCCCCTCCCTGTTAGCTATGTTCAGTACTTTAAGCAGTCAGACTTTGCATTGCCTTTACCATGTATTTGTCAACATCTTTAGTATCCTATTCTATTTTGATTTTTAGATCTTTGTGGGATCATTGTAGTTCTTACTGAAATAGATTTCTTGAGAGTCTCGTATTCTCATCTCTTTTTTTCCCCTTTAAAAGTATCCATTTCCTAGTCGCAGCCTGGTTACAGTTCTTGATGGTCAGTCGTCCTCGCTCAGTAGGACAGTGTGATTCCACCCCACTCTGGTTACCGCTGTGTTGTCAGGCAGTCGGTCCTTAGACTCGTGTGGTTCCTTTTAGGTGATCTGTCATTTCTTTTTGCTTTTAACATTCGTTCACTTTGGTGTTCTACAGTATTGTATGATCTGTCTAAAAGCGACCTCTTCTGCAATCTTAGGGTTTGTTGGACCTCTATGTAATAGCATTGCTGAGCAGTTTTTTGAAAAGTCTCAGCCATTGTTTTTGAGCTATTTTATCATCTCTGTTCTCTATCTCCTTCAGGAATTTCAGAAGTATCCTAGAGGTATGGATTTTCTCTTACATGTTCTGTTTTGGCTTCTTGCTGCATTGCCTTTTAGACAAACTAGATAATTTATTTTTTATCTCTCTTATTTTTTATTCAGCTGTATATAATATGTTATCCTAGCCATTATATTTTTGTGTTAATTATTGTATTTTTTCTTTCAAGGGTTGTATTCACTTATTGTTCAGATTTATCTAATTGCTTCATATAGTCTCTTTAAAATCTGCTCATGCTAATGCTTTTTATTTTATAAAACTATGTTAAACAGTAATTTTATAGCCTATATTTGATAATTCTAACACCTGAAGTCTTATGGGTCTGATTAAGCTGTGCCTGCTGGCTCTCGTTCATCTCGTTTCTTTATACTTTTTGTGGACTCCCTGTGGTTTTTCTCATGGTACTCTTGTTTTCCTGAAACTTTGTCTTGGCAATTCTCTGAGGCCTACATTAAGGTTCTCAGTTTCTCAGTGTAAGGATTTGTGTTTGTGTTAGCTTGTTGCTAGCAGATTGTACTGTTCTGATGTAGGAATACTTCACTGCATTTGACATGTTCTTAAGCCTCACAAACCACAGAGACTTAGCTTTGGGTTACAGAATCTAAGAACAGATTTGAGGTTATTTTGCCCTTCATGCAGCTCCAAAGAGCCAGCTTGATGTGGGCGATTACTTCGCCTCATCTGGGACTTCAAGGCCTCCTTCTATTCAGTCTCATCAGAAACTGTTTTCAAAGGTCAGCTCCTGACTGAACCACCTTTGGGGCCTCTTCCCCCAGGTTCTCATTTTTACGCTTTTGTCCTCACAGCTTCTGCAATTTTGGGTTAATTTAGCAACACATTTAAAACAAATTTAAAGACATGTTATTTTTATATTTTCAGCAAGTCTGCCTCTCAGGTTACATAACTATTGGCTTACAGGAAACTAGAGCTCTGATACTGTTTCCTTACGTCTGTCTCTGTAGTGTTTTAGAAGATGTTCTTCCATGGAATTGCTCATCATCATTTTGGAAGTTTTTGGAGATTATAATATCGATTCATGATCAATTGTTTATTGTCAGTAGAAGATCAAGTTGATCTCTTAGTGTACATGACATTACCATATTTAAGTTGAAATGTCTCATTAAATATTGACAAATTGGTATGATTCAACTAACACTCCTGGAAGGTGTTTTTTGCTTTCCCTTGAGATACTTTTCGAGTCTGTACACTGTAGCGTTGGCTGCTCCTTCTCATGCTGTTCTCTTGTCTTGCTAGATTGCCCTCTACATCTGGGACAAAGGTGGAGGACCTTCCCTTACGCCAGTGCCCGAGTTTTGTACAGAAATTATGGACTCAAGCTGCGCTACCACATTTCATTCCTTTCTGCCCCTTTGTGTAAGTAATGCAAGATAAAGTTTTTTGCCTCGCAGACCAAAGGAAAATTTGCCTGCTATCCATTATATTCTCCCAGTAATTTACATACTAAAACCAAATAAATGAGCAAACAACCTTTGCCCTAAGCCACACCAGAACCCATATGATGCATCTAGTGATAATCTGGTGGGAAAGAGGTGTTGATACACTCTTTCCATATGAGAGGAGAGGCAAGCATAGCCTGGATGCTTCTACCTGAAGGCTAATACATGGAGTTGAGCAGTGGTGGGAAAGAAAGCAAGTCTATTCAAGAGCTGGCATCCTCAGGTTTGGAACCTTTTGCATCCACTCTGAATCTCAGGGAACTTTTGTTCCCTTTTGGCTTTTATAGGGAGGGCAAGAAGGTCCGGAGGACAGTGGGGGAAGAAAGCTAAGTACTGAGCGGGATCTTTGTCATCCAGGGTATTTGCCTCTTTTGTATACTGGACCTTGCCCTGGGGCTAGTTCCATACTTCTTTAGACATACTTTTTTTCTGCAAGTTAAATTTCACAATAATTTTTATACTTTGTTGTTTGATGCACAGAATTGAAGAATAAAGAGGTACATCACACATTCTGATGTTATCTTAAAGTCGCCAAATGTTCTGGCGTCTGTAAATCTAAAGAAAGAATTATTTAACAGTTATCAACCGAAGTCATTTAGGTGCAGCTTTAAAATTGAGAATGCTGAGTAAAAGGAAGAGAACAAAGAATGACTCTGCCAAAAACTCCCAAAGCAGTGGCCATTGTGACCATTGTTAAATTAGATGCTTCTTGAAGCACGCATAGCTAGAAGAGAGGGCAGAGAAGTTTGTGTCTGGCACCTTCTCAGACCTTTCACAGTGGTGTACCAAGGTTATTTTTTCTTTGTTGGTGGTACAGTGTATCAATGTTGATTGGAACTTTTATTCTGTTTCCTAGAAAGGTAATTTTAGACATTTTCTGGTGTACCAAGTCTTCCTCACAGGTCTATTATCTTTACTATCTCAGCAAGTGACTCTGCTTTTGATCTCACCTGAAACTATCCAGAATTTTAAGAGAGCACTTACTGGTTCTGGCAGACTCGTCCAGTCTTCTTGATGAGCCAGGAGACCCTGAAACTCACTAGGTTGTTGGCAGCTTTTTCTCATAAGGGAAAAATATATGCACCAACCTCTCATAGTGTGTGCTGTTCTCAAGTCAGTCACACCAAAGGTTGTGAGTGCCACCTCGAATAACACACACACACACACACACACACACACACACACACACACACAGAGTCCACAGTGTGACAATGGAGGGAATTGGTGCTCTTTGCACTTTCTAAGGAGGAAACCAGTCCTAGCATAATGCTAGCCTGCTCCTTTGTGCCCTTCCTAGGGCCTTGAGCAACATGTCAGAGCTGGCAACAGGTGTCACTCTGAACCAGCCCGGAATGATGGAGGAGTCAGGACTAAATGTTTTTGTAGGTCCAACACAGGTAATAAAGCAGGCAAAGCAACCCCCACCCATACCGCATCAAGAAGCAATTAAAGGCCTAGTAGCACATTAGACGCAAATCCCTCTGCATGCTTCTTTCATCTGTGTGACCCTTTCCCCGGAGGTTTGAAGTAATCTTACTTTTGGCAGAGGCCAGAACATCCTTACCCTGCACTTGGATGGCCGTAAGAGGGGTCATAAAAATAGCTTTCAACATCAAAGTACAGCTGGGCCCAGAAAAGTGAGTCATTTCTTATTTTTACACTAAATCATCTTCCCACTTCTTTCCCTTTGTCAAAATCTTTACCAGCTAGGAGAACAAAGGGAAACGCATGTAACATTTATTGGCCACCTACTGTGTGCTTAATAAATTATGGTAGTCATAGCACCCTTATGATGGTTTTTCTCCTCATTTTGAGAAAACTTAAAAGATTTGTTACCGTGATTCACCATCTGTAATCTGCTGAGCTAGGAAGCAGGCCCAGAGATTATACTATCAGCCTAATTTCAGCTTTTTTCCCCTCTACAATTTTAATTTGCCAAGTAAGTTTGATATCCCTGGTATCATTTAATTTGAATTCTAGACTTTGTAAGCTCTAATGTGTGCATAAAGTTAAGGAAATGTTGACTTATAAATACATGTATTTTTTTCTTCCTTTTTAGGGAAAACCAGTGAAGAAGGAAGATATTTTTGTCGCAGTAAAAACATGCAAGAAATTTCATGGTGACAGAAGTACGTTTCGTGGTATTCATTTTTATTGGGCTTTAAGAATCCAAGCTGCCTTTGCAATAAAGTACAAGCCAGTTAGAAATGTAAACAAGGAAGGAAATAATGGAATAATGTGCTGTAATAAAAATTGTTATTTAATCAATATTACTCATCTCACCACTTAAATCGCCAAGATCAATTAGGAGGGACAATTTTGTATTGAGATACAAGTAGCCCACGCTCTTCTTAATCCTATTTAGAGCAGAGTTCTAAACAATGAAAAAGCTCACTTGTAGCAATCTTGGCAACGATATGTGCCTAACAGTACATTTATAAAACAGTGTCCCATTGTGTCCACACAAAGTCTCTGAACTCCACGGAGAGTCTGAGGAGACTGCCAGGTAACAGAATGTCAACAAAGAATATTTTTTTCAAGGCTATTCCTTTTTAAAAATATTCATTTTAAGTGTATTTATTGGTACTTTTCAATAAAGACACATATTTGCTTGGGAGAAGATATGTTGGAAAAAAGGAAAAAGCCACCTTAGGGACAATGACCCTTTCTGGCATGCAGGTCAATGTTGTTTTGGTTTATTCTGCATGTTGTTACTAGTTATGATGGTAATGTTATTTTTTTTTAAGTCCATCCTAAAAATAAGTAGACTGGATTTCTGTCTTCTTACACCTCACTTCAGACAGTACTTTTCTGATACTGAAAATTAGGCAGTTTTTTTCATTTTCTAATTTTTGCATATATTTTAATTTTTCCATGAAAAGGCTGTCAGTTTCAACCAAGGGTGTGATATTTATGTAGGAGAGATTCCTTAACTAGCTGTCATTTTTATGAGATTGGAGCAACGGGGGAAGTACATTTATATACTTTATGTGATAACATGATGCATGCAAGTAATATTTTAAAAGGGAAGATATTTCCTAAATAAAATATTTTACAGCTTTGGATTATAGTATTGCTTAGAATTAAAATCTAGTTCTAATCAAGAATATCCTAAATATATGTTAACTATCAATATTCATGTTTGCCAGAAAGTGGTGAAAAATTCCAAATTCTATTAAATCTGACTAAATAAAAATATATACTCATATAAAAAGGTCTAAAATACTAGTGGTGATCACTTTAGCAATTTAAATAAGTTTCATTTATCAGTAGGAAATAGGAAGATAGATCTTTTGGAAAATCAAGGGAACTGTAAGATGACGTGATGAAAAAGAATTGGGATGTGCTGTATATGTGTTCCAGATTGCCACAGCAGTGCAAATATGTACTAAGAAAATTTTTTTCAAAAATGTTATTTGTCATAAATTTAACCTAAATTTGATAGCATTTTCCTTTTTTCATTGTCTAGAAGGGCTTTGTGGAATGATTTTGATAAATATCTTTTTCTTTTCTTCTTTCTTTTTTCTCTTTTTGGTGGTACTAGGGATTGAACCATCCTCAACCCTATTTTTATTTTGAAACAAAAATCTTGCTAAATTGCTAAGTTGCCCATGCTGGGCTCAAATTTATAATCCTCTTGCCTCTGCCTCGTAGAGTGCTAGAATTACAGACATGTATCACTAGGCCCTGTGGATAAATACCTTTTTTTTTTTTTAAAAAAGGTGTGGAGAAATGCACTAGGCTGTCTTCGATTTAAGTAAGCAGAAGTATTTGAATTGATTTGACTGATCTTGAAGATAGCCTGGAATAGTGATTATTTCATGTGAAAAGTAGTAGTATTCTGGAGTCTTAGAACAGTGTCAGATGGGGTGGGGGGTGTCCCAATAGATGAGGCTTGCCACTTGCCACGGTTTGTGCACATTTCCACCCATAATCAGTTGGCTCCAAGGCAAGGTGGTATGGCACAGAGGCAACATTCATGGTGGTAGAAGATACCAAAAGCAACAAGAGTAAAAGAGGAGAGAACAAGCCTCTGTCCCTCCCTTATATTGTATATAAGCCACATATCTCAGGTTGGGTGTTGCTTCTCACTGCTAATTGTTTTAAAATGTTCCGGTGTGGTTTTCACATTCACAGTAATCATTATTAAATTTCATGCTGACAGTTCCTTGTGATGTGACGGTTACTCACTTGATATCATGGAGAAAGCTGAGTGTGGAATGATGCAGAGCTGGCCCGAGTCCTTTTGTGGCCTGCTGAGTTAGGAAGCAAGACTTGAGTTTCCAGCTTCTGAATCCTCATGCTCTTTCTGCCACAGCACAACTCTACTGTGATTTCCTTGGAAATGTGATGAACCAAGTGCTGATTAAATTGTCTTTGTTATTTATGTTGATTCCCTGCTATGTGCAGGGTCAGCTTGGACTTGGCTGGAAGCTGTGAAAGTAAGCTTTAATTTTCACTAGCAATGGGTATTGCAAGGATTTGAAGGCCACGTACGATGTACGAGACACATGGGGCTGAGAATTTAGACTGCCATCCTGTCCAAGCAAATTGCCGCTCCAGTCAACCATGGGTTATTATTATTATTTTTTTTTTCTTTTTCCTCTTCTCTGTTTGCTGTGTGGTAGAAATACTTGAAGGAACCAAAGTTAAATGGCAGTGAAGAAAAAAAAATAGATAAGAAACTACATTTGAACAATTGAGAAGGGGCTATATTTGTGAGCACTTACTGTTTTATTCTGATCACTTCCCTGATGAGGATGAGGTGTAGACACAGGAAGGGAAAATATGTGTTAATTTTTTTGTTAATACTCTCTTGAACAAATTGATCATAAAACCAACCTCTAAAATTTAAAAAATATATATCTTAAATATTGTAATTTGCCTGACTATGAAACATCTACATAGCTACATTTGCCTGGATTCTAATATAAATGAACTAGAGCAGTGGTGGTGAACCTGTGGCATACATGGTGTTTTTCTTTTAAAAGGGCGAATGTTAAGGCAGGTTTTTTTTTTTTTTTAAACTAAAACTTCAGTATTTAAGTTTAATTGCAGTGTTGGCACTTCACGATAAGTAAGTAGGTTTTGGGTTGCAGTTTTATTTCTAAAAGGTTCACCACCATTGAATCAGATCATTGTTAGAACAGAGCTAGCAAAACACATGCTCTATTTTTTTGATAGAGCAATACATATTGACTCCATTAAGACAGTAGAGCTCTCTGAGGACCAAGCATGCAGTAGGGTTTTGAAGAAGCTTTCTTGTGTGATGATGAATCAGGCAGAGCATGGAAAAGATCTCTGGAGCTTTAATATGCAGCTTGATGACTTCCTCTTGGGAAGGAAGAGAGAGCTTTTCATTGTTTGACATGAGCTGTCAGAAACCCGTAGGCACGTCCTTGGCATCGTTCCGCCACGCAGCTCCGGTGCGCGCCTCATGCAGCTTGTGTGTGCTCATCAAATACTGGCTGTGAATCGCTCTCCTCTTTTAGTCTCCCTCTAATTAAAGAGGTCAAACTGCTGCTTGCTCAGCCTTTAGTTCTTTTTCACAGCTTCCTGAGCCTTTAAAAATAAATACCTTTTTCAAGTTAAAAAGAGACAAAACCTTTTTTTCTGTCTTCACTGCTGTGATCTCGTCTGGAAGAAGCAAATTGGAACAAATTTATTAGAAGGAGTGTTTGGTGGCTGGGGTTCTCTTTGGTGAAAGAGGCTAAAGGTACCTGGGTGCAGTCTGCTCATTTAAAGTGTAAGACTTGCATTAAGATACAGACAAATGGATGGCGAGCACTCTAGTCAGAGGAAATGATTAGGTTAATTATTAAACAGTGGAGGGTGGTCAGGTAAGGCCCAGCTCTGTTCTTTCCTTCACTGCGAGAAACAACTAATGATGCTCCAGATTGCGTCACGCTCTTGTTTTAGATCAGCAAGGAGGAATGCTTTTCAGTCTTAGGTACAATTAGTCTTTAAAATTAGGAATGAAGAGTACAAATGTGTGTCCCTAATGCCCCGCTGAAATGAGAAGCACAATCAGGGTGTTATGTTGTGGTTACTAACGCACACAGAGACAAAAGCTCCATTTGCCTGTTGAAAATAGCAGATTCTTCAAAATAGCTATTCAGCTTTGTGTGGTACATTACATTTGATTGATTGAACATTTGTGAAATGTCCAAGTGTCAGTCTGTTTTCATCCATAATACTAGACAGTTTTGCAAGTAAATTCACCAGGGGTAAAAGTGTGTATTTCTTTATCTCATAGTGAGACCCAAGTCTTACATAAATCTAGGAAGTTCTAATAAAGATTTATGCCATTGGTGCAGCTGGGACTTTTTTATAGTAAAATTTTTACTTTGCTCTAGTTTTAAGTTATCCTATGCCAAACTTTCTTGAAAAGGGCACTATTATTTTGTTGCAGAAAGCATGCCTCTCATTATTGAAAATGAGATATCATGTAACTCTCTAGAAGTAGGTGGTTTAATTTCTCAAGGGGCACAGTATCTTAATACAATACAAAATAGTTTATACTAATAAAATGAACTCCTTTTAGAATGTTGTTAGACTATGCTGATAATGTAGGCCAGTATTTTAAAGGTTCAATTTAGAATGAACCCTCATTGGAGATAAAACCTTAAGTTGCTCTTTTAAAAGTCTACCTTCAAATCCTTTACAGCTAGAACATATGATAAAACCATGGGATTTGCACTGATGAGAGACTGATACAAAGTATTTAATGTCTTAGGTGCTATAGAATCATAATATCTTCCTATATTAAAATGTTTGGGCTAAGTTAAAATGATTGTTAATGATGGTATTGGTTTTGTACCAAATGATGAATTACCATTATGGATAAAATTTTAGATTACTTTCCAAAAATAGTCCTATACCTGTTAATGTGACTTTTACAAAATTCAGTCCATTGAGCATCTACTGTGTCCTAGGCACTGTGCCAGACTATGGGGAAGAATCATACAGAAATTCTTACCTTTAAAGAAATTGCTATTTCAAATTAAAACTGAAGTCAGCTAGTTAGGTATAGCAGGGGGCTAGCTTATGTTTGATTAGGTTTTATTTTATTGAAATTAGGTAATTAAGGAAAAACACCTGTGCTGTTTAATAGAGCTATCAAAATAAAGGGACAAGGCTGAGGAAATTGGAAGTAGGATTTGTGCAGGCTGAGGACCCATGCTGGAAATTGAGGAGAGTTCTTGACCTTTCCTCACAGCTTCTTCCAGCATTGTGCAGTGGGTGTTTTACCCAAGAATATGAACTTGGAGTTGCTGCAAGCTGCAGGGAGCCTTTGAGGGAGGGAGGGTCCTCTTATTATGTGCAAAACAAACTGCAAGTGCAGCTCCAGGGTGAAGACTGTTGATGAGCTGAGGTTTGGAAGTAGAACAGAGTGAGGTTTTCAAAAAGTTTTTCCTTTTTCCTATCCTCCTGTGTATCTGTTCTCTTTTGGTGCATCTTTAACTGTCTTGACAGGAGCAGTCAGACCTTCATAACTGTCTGTCGTTCCATGTTAATAGAAAATATTTTAATATGTAAAAATACTTAATGGACAATGTTATTCGTGTTTAGAATTTATAATTGTTTTTCTTAAAGGCTGATAGTGGGTTATAAAATAATGCGTTTTTGTTATATAAGAGTTAAGAGTACCGGAGCTGGATGCTGATTTGCTTAGCTAAATATTTAGATTTCACATTGTAGTGACAGTTTTTGAATATAATTTATTTTAATTTGGGTTGGAATAAAGGAAAAATATACACTAATAAAATCTCCAAAAGTTTCATGGAGATCTTGGTTCATCAGAGTTAAGATTCTTAAATTAATAGTTTAAAATCTGAATACAGTCTCCTCTATTAAAATAACAGTAGAAACCCCCTTTAAGACATAGAGATACACAGATAGTTTTTAAAAACATATACAGAGAAGAAAACAATTATTTGCATATTTGACATATGAATTAATGCTAACTCCAGAGCTGTCTATATATCAGGTGTGTAAACTCTGTTACTTTTGAGCACCTAAACCTAAAATACTTCTTGTTTTCAACAATCTATCTGTTGTTCGATCGAGCATTGTTGTACATGTCTGTAATCTCAGCACTCAGTAGACTGAGGCAGGTGGATTGCTGGGAATTGGAGGCCAACCTGGGCTACAAAGGGGGTTCAAGGCCAGCCTGAACTGAATAGTGAAACCCTGCCTCAAAAAGACAAAACCAAAAACCAAACAACATACATGTATATACACAGGGTAGCTAGGACGATTGTACTATTCATTTCTATAGGATTATTGAAGGGAATAGTTACTGCTTAAAATTTTTATTTTGACTAATTTCACATGCCTATATCCAGTAATCTGAGCATCTACTTTGAAGACAGAAATATGCAGTATAACAATCTTTGTTGAATTCCTGTCTTCTGGTCTTCTTGAAATTCTGTATCATTTCTGATTTTTTTTAATTCTTTTTAAAAGAGAAAACAACAACAAATCCCAATCATAGCAGAAGAGCTGTGAATGTAACTCAGTGTAAAGGCCCTGGGTTCAACCCCCTATGCCAAACAAACAATTTTTTAAATTAATTTTATTGAGAAAGAAATAGCAATGAGACAGTTTCAAAACAGGTTAGTAGGACAGTTACAATAATTAATACATTGCATATTATTGTCTTCATAGTAGTTATTCATAGTACAAGATGCAGACATGATATCCTATCCACAAACACTATTAGAACAAATCTATTTACTGAATTACGAAAATGCAGTTGTATATCAATGCTATTTTGAATATATAGATACAAAATGGTCGTTCATTTGTATCCCCCTTTTTTGTTTAGTTTTGTCAGAGAAGGGTATTCTATTGTCATTTAATTATTGTAGGTGTGTGAATTCAGCAAAATAATCCAGTATTGTCCAGTAGTCCATAATAGTAGTGGGTTTTCCGTAAGTCTGGCAATGTCAGAAGTTGTTGACTTGAGCCTTTTACAGCTCAGCATATTAATATGGATTTACTCTTTATGCCACGTTTTTATACTTTTCTGCTGGATGATTAAGACCAAGATAAAGCAAGACCTATATAATAAGAAATGTAACTTTTGGATCTGATAAGGTCAGTCAAATCCCCTCAGGATTTATCCTGAAACCCTGTACGGCAGTTTGTAGATCATTTGTCAGTGTCAACCACGTGAATGAGTCATGGCCATTGCTTGAGCAGTTTGCTCTCTGTGAAAGCCTGAGAGAATGCTTTCTCCCCATGTGACTCTCTTTAGACACACTCTACATCATCAATCACTTTCCTCTTTGGCTCCATAATCTCCTTGATCAAAAAATTTGGGACACAACTGAGTTACATGATGTTACAGTACAGGTTCTCCTATGTCCTGAGTCTTCACTGACCTTTAAAGGCTAGGGCCAAAATGTTGTCTTTGCAGCCCTTCTTTTTCTCTAATTTTTGGTCTGCAAACTTAGGTTGTTAACTCTCTAGAAGAGAAGCTTATTATTATTACCCTACAACATATGCAGGTGAGCTTAACCTCACTATCTGTCTGAGTATCAAACATCTGTTAGGCATAACATGGAACAGATATTTTCCATCAAGTATTTATATTTTAAACTTTAAGTCCCTACAGAATATGAAGAAAAATATATTTTTTCTTCAGTTACATATTTTTACAAAGAAACTTGGAAACCTAACCATATACAGCATTGTAGCAGGACAGTCCTGTGACATTTTATTTTCTTGGCAGACATGACATCTTGTTTAAACAACACTATTAGTACAAATCTTTCTTGTCATTGAATTAAGAGAAAGTAGCTGTATAAGTGTACTAACTATTTTGTATAAAAATATATATAATTTTTTCACTACAAAATGGTCCCTCTTATTTGTTTAGTTTTGTCAGAAATGGGTATTCCATTGCCATTCAAATATTGTAGGTGCATGACCAAACAAACAATTCAAAAAACAATTATCTGTTGCTGATAGTTTAAAGTTTATCGTGAATCTCAATTTTTTTTCTTCCACACTTTTCAAATGTATGCCATCAATATCCGTCATCATGTGCAGTGATTATCATGACGAGACCATGCTTACCATAGAGTTGGGAACTCTCGTTGAAGTTTCGGGGCAGCAGCGCGCACCACTGGGGCAGGTTCCCTGTTCTCGGAGGGATTCATGTATACTTCAGCTGGAATCACACCGAGTGCTCTGCTCTCTGAGGTTCTTCTATTTCCCATTGTGTTGGTCACCTTTTCCTCACTGTGACCAAATACGTGAAGAAAACACCTTAAAGAAAGATTCATTTGGGATCGTAGTCTGTGGCCTGCCACATGCATTGGTTTCGGCCTGTGGTGTGGCAGAGCATCCAGAGGGATGATGGGGCAAGGGATGGCTGCTGACCTCAGGGCTGCCACGGAGCACAGAGGGTGAGAGAGCCCAGCACCCGGCCATCAACCCTTTAATGTTCTGGATTCAACTGTAACACACACCCAACAGAAACGTATTTAAAAAATAAAACATAGGTGGGTAGATAAAATGGAACAACTTACAGGGAAAAGAGGAAAATGAATTCATTTAAAAGGAACATTATAAACTAGACTAGAAAATTTATTATGTGGAATAACTATATTTGTTGCTGGAAATGAGAAATTAACTCTAGGCCATTTTAAAAATGCTTCAGGGAGAGAGTTTTAGCCGCGTGCTGTACTTAGCAGACAATGCTACCGTTCCTCACTGGGGAAACAAGCTCCAGGTCTGTGGCTACCTGAAGAATAAGTGACTCTTTGCTTCAGTTGCGGGCGGCTCTGCTGCCTTGTGGAGTTTTCAAGCTTCCTGTATTACTGTATCGATGATCATCACCTCTGTATCTTCTCAGTACCCATTGTAAAGCAGACTTGGGAGGGACAGGCAAGTCTCGTCGAGTACTACAGTGACTATGCGGACAGTGCCATCCCTACTGTGGATTTGGGGATCCCTAATACAGACAGAGGTGAGTCCTTGGTTCTTCCTTCTTTCATTAGAAACCCTCATCCTGTAGGCACAACAAATTCGGGTAAAATGAAATGTGTAGCACTGTAGTTTTTGCCTGTCACTTTGTTTTTCTTTCTTTGCCCAACATCTTTACCTACAGGTGTGGAGTGATTCTTCAGATTAAAGACTTTGTAGCGGGAAGAGTTGTACATTTTTAGTCATATTTCTATGGTTGAGCCTATGGAAATTATAATGGAGTCAAAGAATAGTTTTTCTTCGTGGTTTATCATGGTCATAATGGGATTCGCAGAGTTGGCTTGTTGTCTTCTCGTACTGAGCCTGGTCCACCTGAATTTTATGGTCTGGCTCACATTTGTTATGTAACTCAGAGTACCCCCTAACCTAGTTATGTACAGAGTAACCAGGAAGCATCTGTATTCATCTTTTCATTAGTATTTTGTTGGAAATACACCTTTTTTCTTTGATGCCTGGTGTTCTAATTAACATGTTTTTCCCATTTTGTGGTACAGTGGTAACCCAGCTGTGCTCAACTACTCAGCTGTATACCCAGCCACCTTTTACACTTTATTTTTGAGAGTCTCACTAAGTTGCCCAAGCTAGCCTCAGATGTTCAATCCTTCTGCCCCAGCTTCTCCAGTAGCTGAAATTAGAGACCTACATCACTATGCATGCAAAATATTTTTCAATTTAAAAAAATGAATGTAGAAATTTGAGCACCTCATTATTTGTCTTAGTGTTTATTCAGCATTATTGCTGAGTTTTTTTTTCTTGTTTCCCCATACCCTTTTATAAATTAAAAAAATACAAGTAGTAAGCTGATTATTTCATTTATGCATACTTATTTTGATTGTTTTATATTATTGTCATAATAATAATTACTTAGGGAGTAAAGTTCAAGGAAGAATCAGGTATTAAATTTCTATAATTACAGATTGTTTGGGAAAATTTAAATGTATTATAGACTACTATATTCTTTGTTTTGCAAAAACCTTTTAGGCTTAATTTTTTCTTGTTAACTTTGCTTTTTAAGACTTCATTGTAGGCTCTTTTACCAATTATTTACCTGTTCACTCATTCTTTGATTTCTTCATTTATTTTTAGTCTGGCCATATTGCTGCCTGTATTTGTGTGGTCCTTAATCCCAAAAAGAAAAAGTAAACAAGGACCTAGAATGTAGTTCAGTGCTGCGGGCCTGGGTTCAATCCTTAGTACTGTACAACACACACACACACACACACACACACACACACACACACAAAGTCAAGAGTATATAACAGTGAAATTTGAGTGAGTTGTTTAATATTAATTAAACCGAGCTTGTACCATACCATGTCATCAAATACTTGGTTGAAATGAGGGACATATTCCTATTTATCAACTTGAATATTTCTCCCCAGTGTTTTACTTTTTTTTTTTTTTGAGCCATGCATTTACCACAAGGTATTGCATTTTATCCGTTGATGTCTGAAGGACTGTGGCTCTGCCTTACCTAGCGCTGAATCGTTAATGCCTGTCTTCCTACCTGCCTTTGTATTAGGCATGTTGCAAATTTAGTTGCAAATATTCATCAGATAAATGAATCAAGGTATAGTCTTTACTTTTGTACCTTGCCTTCTCCATGGCCATAGTGCTCAGAGTTCCAACAGTTCTTTGAGAATAATCACATCACCAAAAGACAAGGCTCCTGGATGCTTGAGAGTTGCTAGACTGAAGAGTTAATCTTATCTCTACCTCGTAGTTTGTGTGGTCGTGCATAATTCCTCCAGTCTTTACAGTCGCCATTTCACCATGGCTGAGACATTAAGTTCCTTCTGATTCATTATGTCTATGAAGATTGGAAATTTAAGAAGGCTAATTTCTGGGAAAATTTCAGATTATTACAGTGGTCAAGATTCAGCCTCTTACAGCACTTTGAAAAGTGTATTTAAAAGACTGAATTGTACGCAGGGACTGGGGTTTGACCCCTGGCACCGCATGCTGTGCAGGCCTCACCCCTGGGGTACACTGAGCCGGTCATGGAGACCAGGTGTGGTGATGCGTGCTGTAATCCCAGAGGCTGAAAACAGGAGGATCACTCCCAAGTCCAGCCTACATAGTGAGACCCTGTACCAAATGCATAAATTACAAAAAAAAAAAAAAAAAAAAAAAAAAAAAGACCTGCTGTGCCAGCCCCGCCCCCAGGGCAAGCTGAGTCAGCAATTGAGACTGGGCATGGTGGTGTGCCTGTAATCCCAGCTCTTAGGATGCTGTAAACAGGCAGATCACTATGAGTACAATCTAGTAGTAAGACCCTGAACACCCTGTAAACCCTTCCCTAAAATATAAAAAAGAAAAGAAACAAAGAAAAAGAATTATATGTATTTTAGAGAAATCAAATGTATCTTAAGTTTTCTTCTTAACTATTCTAGGTCATTGTGGAAAAACATTTGCCATTTTGGAAAGATTTTTGAATCATAGCTATGACAAAATAACATGGCTAGTCATTGTGGATGATGATACATTAATAAGGTAAGGAGTCATTCTTATCCTAAGAGGCTTTAGCTTTTGTATGTATTCATATTCAGAATCTCTGGTGTAGGTACTCTGCTTCTGGCCAAGTTGGACTAATATGGGCAGGATTTATGCTCCCATCTGAAACAACTCACCAAAAGAACAAAAAGTATGAAGTAAAGGCTTTTAAAGACACTGAACATTAGAGTGATATGAAGCAAGTGACTGGCCAGTGGCTTGCGTTAGAGAGTTCCATTCCACTGTTAGAATGAACATATGTGGAACCTGCAGGCGCCCAGGGTTGAAGACATGGAGCTGAGCATCTCGGGAGACCAAGGCTGCTAGAGTTTGCAGAACACAGGACTAGAAAGGAGAGAGCCTCTCAGAAAGGAAGTACTTGAAATCTGGGCAAGGTTCCCATAGATAGTCCGCACTGATCAGTGCATTTGTGTACAGAAATTACTCACAACTAGTAAAGAACCACCAGAATGATAAGATGAAATGTTTATTGACACTTACACAGGATTGGGTGTCTTTTCCCAGACTAGTATACCTGTCATTCATAGACTCAAAAGTTACCAGGTGTGCATAGCTGTGGGAAAATAATGTGGAGAAAAAAATCATTTGATGAAAATTGTTTCAGAAAGATTACAGTATTAGAATTAGTACTTAATGGCTGGGTGTGGTGGTGCATGCCTATAGTTTCAGCACTTTGGGAGGCTGAGACAGGAGGATTGTTGCAAGTTTGAGACCAGATTGGTCTACAAAGTACGCTCAAAGGCAGCCTGAACTGCATAGCAAGAGCTTGTCTCAAAAAGATAGTACCTATTAAGGTGTTATTATTAGTTACTATAAATGTTGCACATAATGGAAAAAGAGACATGAAAGATTTAAATAAGTCTGAAATCACCTTTTACCTTTTTATAATCTACAGATAAAAGCTACAAAATTATTTGAGATAAAAAAGACTACAAAGTGGAATAAATAGTAAGTTAGGTGTTATAGAAGAAAATATCAATACATATAAAGATACTGTAGTAATAACTATCTAAAGTGAAAATCAAAAATGAAACATTTTAGAAAATGGATTAGGGAGATAGCTCAGTGGCATAAGCACCTGCCTGGGAAGCGCAAGGACGCTGATTCGATCCCTGGTACCACATGCTGTTCTGGCTCCAGAACCCTGGGCATGGTGGTACCTGCCTGTGTTCCCAGCGCTGGGGAGGCTGACACAGGAGGATCACTATGGGTCTGAACTGCATAGCAAGACCCTGTGTCAAAGAAAAAAAAAATGTAGAAAATGAACAGAACATCACTCAACCATGGGACAGTTCCAAGTGGCATCATAATCTATATTATTACACTGTAATATATACTCTTATATATTATATATACAGTTGGAGTCCATGAAAGAAAGGAGTACATAAAAATATTTTAATGAATATTTTCCAACTTTATGAAAACTATAAAGCCACCGATTCAAGAAGCATAATGTTTTACTCACTTTCTTGTTTCTGGGACAAAATAGCCAACACCTAAAACTTATAGTAAGAGTAGTTTATTTTAGCTCATGGCTTTTAGAGGATTTCGTCCATAAGTGGCTGACTCTAAGGTGGGAAGGGATAGTGAAGAAGGAGTTGACAGAAGAAACAGTGAAGGGAGGAGCCAGAAATGAGCTGCACCCTTACAGGTCATGTTCTCAGGGACCCACTACTTGGCCCAGGCCCTGCTTCCTTACTGCACATTCAGCTTTCAGACTGCGATTATAGCACAATCCCGTCTCCTTCCACAACCCCAGCCTTTGAGCAGATGAGGCTTCTGGAGGACTTACTAGTCTAAATCCTAAAACTCATTGAACCCTAAACACAATAGAGCATAAAGCAGAGCATAGATCTTTGGTTATATGAACACTCTAGATTTTCCAAAGGCTTTAGGGTGAATAATTGCAAGATGTAGGGCCAACCTCTATTGGCCATGAATAACAGTAACTAAAAACTAACTTTTAAGTTGTTTTTTCTGTTGTCAATGAAACCTAGAGCTTTGACTTCTAGGAGACTGACATAGATATAAAGATATAAAAATCTTTGAGTATAAAATTAAAAAAACTAAAGAATTATGGGAAGTAGACAGAAAAGGGAAGAAGTCAGGCTTTAGTGAATGAAAGGAAGTAGAAGAACTAAGGTATATCTAAATTTATGACTAAATTACAAAACACAAAAGATAAAAAATTCAATGCAAATTTAAGGAATATGTCTAAAAATTGAGAAATGTCATGAAAATGGAAAGAAGCTAAAGGATTTAGAAAAAATGTGATTTAACTGGTAGCAGCAAAGATGTCTAGTTCATGTATAACTAGAGTCTCCCACAAGTCTCAAAAGAACAAGAAAAAGACTTTTTTTTTTTTTTTTTTTTTTTTGTAGTGCCAGGGATCAAACTTGGGACCTTGTGCTTGCCAGGCAGGTGCTCATGCCACTGTCTCTCTGGCCCAGAAAAAACACTTAAATTACCAGACATAAGGAAACATTAAAAAGACTCTCTGGTTACCACTGAAAACTGACCTGGCATCCTCAGCTTCTTCACATAAACTAGGAAAATGATTCGATTTTGAAGGTAGTCATCTGAGTTTCTAGGCAAAATGATAAAATAACTAAAAAGCAATAAAATTAGACTGGTACACATTCTCAAAGTGACATTTGAAAACCCGTTAACAGTGGAGGCAAGTTTTCAACAGACTCCAGCATGGAAATTATGAATCACAGATTTTGTATATAGGGTGTGTTTGAATATTATTGCAATAGAAAAATTCTTCACTGAACATGAATGTAGGTAACAGTGTTTATTCCTGGGAAATATATATTGGAAAAAAAAACCTTGACCCAATCCAGAGGGATGAAATTCAGGCAGAAAAACCCACTGCTAAACATGTCATATACTGACCTGTCAAACTAAAAGTAAATAAGCTAAAGAATGAATGGTATGTACATGTAAATAGTACATTTTCTGACAAAGCAGAAAATGTACAAATAAAAGGGAGAAAAGTGATTATTCCATAATCAGCTGGCTCTAAGGCAGGGTGGTATGGCAGAGGGGCAGTTGTTTATTGTGGCAAAGATACCAAACGCAACAAGAGAAGAAGGAAGAGCAAGCCTCTTTCCCTTCCTTATAGTGTATGCAAAGGTACCAGCCATAGGGCAGATGTAGCACTTATACCCTTAATCCCAGCGTTAGACTGTAAATCAGTCACAAACTCTAGATGCAGCTGCTTTCAAAAAGCCTCCTCCACCCTCGTGACTGTATGAGACTTTGGATGCGCATCCAGGTACAGCTGGCGTGTGAAGGATACCATATAAAAATGACACATCATCCCGGCGTGGTGGCACATGCATGTAATCCCAGCACTTGGGAGGCTGAGGTAGGAGCATTGCCACAAGTTGAAGGTCAACCTGGAAAAAGTAGTGAGTCCAACGCCAGCCTGAGTTACATAGTGAGGTTCTGTCTCATAAGAAAATGTGGCACACCAAATATAATTTTAAATTAAAAATGTAATAAAACATAAAGGACTAAATGTAATGGTAAATACCAGGGGGAAACACTTTCAGAATATTAAAAGTGTGCTTTTAAATACCAAAGAAATGGACTTAAGTGGGTAGGCACATTAAATATAACATGATACAATAATTGAAACCTAAAGTACTAGTGGTGAATCAAACATTAGCAGTCATATGATTTAATTCACCTAGAAAAAAAAAAAACTTTTCAAATGGACTCATAGAGCAAGTTCCAATTCTGTATATGAGACACACACAAACATAGTAATTCAGGGTCTACAAATAAAAAATGGATAAAGATTCATCTAAGCAATGGGAGCAATAACAATACATAATTAAGTACCCAACTTATAAACGAGAAAAAGAGCAACAGAGTCAACCTAAACAGCACAAGGATGGAAATAATAATAAAAGTAAATGTCAAAACAAGGACGTAGAGAACAAGCAGAAAACCGAATTGATCAAAATTTTGTTTTCTTGAAAAAAAAATTACATTGAGTGATGTCCTGGAGACATTGTTCAATGAAAAAAGGAAAGAACAGGAGATTCTATTTGATATGTTACTCTGTATGTAACAAAGAAGTAGTAATAAAGCATACCTGTATCTGCTGAGTCTTATATGAAAGAGATAAAAGATAAACCTGAAAGCTACAAAACTGCTAACTTAAAAGGGGTAGGGTAGAAGAATAGGATGGATGAGGAAGGGGAATCTGATTTCTTTTCAGTTTATCTCAGATTAGTGTTTTTGTGATAGGTTTGTTTTTCAATAAACTTCATAAGATTGTGTCTCAGTTGAGGAGGGTGCAAGTCTGAGGTCAGGGTGCGAGGGTGGGCAGGGTCTGGGGAGGGTCCTCCTCTGGGTTAGGCCTACCAGCTTCTCTCTGTGCCCTCAGGTGTAGAAGGAGAAGGTGCTATCTCTCAGATGTAGCCAGCACCATTTATGAGGGCTCCGTTCTGGTGCCCTTCTTAGTGGCCCACCTCAAAATTAGTACATCTGGGGTTGGATTCCCACATATGAGTGTTTGGAGCCTGCAGTCAGTCGCTCAGTTCATTGCAGCTACTAATAGTTCTTAGTGTAGATTGCTGGCTGCTAAAAACAAAAAACAAAATACAGTGAAAACCAAACTGTTCTTGTTTTTAAATAAAAATGATAGAAAACCAATCTAAAATTATGTAATAAGGTTTTATTGCACCATCATCTGATCTCTGTTAGGGTTGGTTTCATTTTTTTTTTTTTTTTTTATTGTAGTAAAGCATACATAACAAAATTACCATCAGAACCATTTTCAAGTGTGTAGTTCAGTGGGAGGAAATACATTCACAGAGTTGTGCAGCCATGTTCCTAACTCCTTTCATCCTGTAAAACTAAATTCTGGGCCCATTACATAACTTTCCATTTCCTTCTCCCCAGCTCCTGACAGACACTACACTCTTTTTTGTGTCTATGAACTTCACAACGCTAAGTACCTGACTAAGCAGACTCATGCAGTTTATCCTTTACTGAGTTGCTCATTTCACTGAGCACAGTACCCCTTAAAACTTAGTCTATGTTGTAGCATATCCCTTTCTTTTTAGGGTTAACTAGTACTCTGCTTGCTGGCTGGACCGCCTTTTGGTTATCCATTCATCCGTTGGTGGACACGCAGATTGCTTTCTCCTGTTCTTATGAATATGTTGCTATGAGTGAGACTGCTACTATCTCTTCAAGGCCCTGCCTTCTGTACTTTAGGATATATTCCAAGAAGTAGAATTGCTGGGTCATATGGTAATTTAGTTTGACTGAGAGAAGCCTATTAATATTTTACATCTTTAGAAATCAACAAGGGCAGGAAAAAATCCACAAAGATGGAAAAAAGACTAAAAGACATGAACCCATCAGTGTTTAAGTGAAAGTACCACACCCAAGGGAAAATATGATTCATGCAAGTGCAGTAACTTTTGAAGACAGTGTTTAAATACGTACCTTTAGTCAGGAGTGGGAAGAAGGGAAGAACTTAAAAAAATCCTGACTTTTAGTAGGTCTGATTTTTGAAGTGCTGTGGGTGGAGCAGTTCGGAGTGTATTTTAGGTACATCGTAGGATGGATTAAATGTTAATATTTTGGAGAGTCACTCTCCACACTGTGGATTAAGAATGGAGCACAGTGAGGGAAAGTTACATGGCAATAGAGGAACCTGAAAGAATTCATATTTTTTATAAGAATGCAAGATTTTTAAGATGAATGTATGTGTGTGTGCATGTGTGTTCATACATGTGATTATTTTGTTTCTGCTTATAGAGGCTGGATACAAAGATATCCCAGCAGCCAGAAACGGCTGATTCCAGAGGAGTGGCAAGATAGCTAACAATATATTTAGAGTATCTTTTTGTATCAGAAAGCAAGGAAGTGCTTTAAAAAATGAAGAAAGAGAGAAAAGAAGTAAAAATAGAGAGCACCTGGCAAGAGGGCACAAAGGAGAGCTTGAATAGGATCCATTGGCCAAATTTGGGACACGCGAAACATCAGTTAATTAAATCAGTAGTGACTTATGAGCTATTAAAATTAGAAGCTAATGAATTAATGCTCACAAGAAAGGAAAGAAAAAAAGGAAGAAGAAAGAGAAGGAAGTAATGAAGGAGAGAGAGAGGAGGGTAAATTCTTGCTTACAGAATAATGAGCTCCGATTGATAAATGTTCAGGGAATGATAGAGCTGGAAGCCATCATTTTGTAACCATCATAGTAAAGATTGATTGAAGAAAGAACCATTAATTTATGCTAAACTAGGGCTACATTTTGATGAAGACTGGAATATGTCCATATTAAAGACTCTGCCTAAGGATTTTTAGAAATAGCAAGGAAAATTGTTACTTTCCCAGGAGAGAAACCAGCCAATACCTTGATTGAGTGACCAGAATGAATCTGAGCAGTGTTGGCTAAGGTGACATTGTGTGTCACACATAGCACTGCTTATTTCATTCTGTGAGTGGGAATATATAACTTGAGCTTTCCCATGGGGAAATATCAGACCAACCTAACTGGAAGATCAGTTTATTCTAAAAAGACTGGAAGCTTGTGATTTTAAAAGATATCAGTGTGACAGGTACTCCTGTAATAACAGGAGGCTTAAGCAGGAGGATCACCATGAGTTTGAGACCAGCCTGGGCTGCACAGTTACACAGTGAGTTCAAGGCCAGCCTGGACTACTGGATTGTGTAAGGGAACCTATTTGAAAAACACTAGAGAAGAAAGAGAGAGAGAGACAGACAGAGACAGACAAAGACACAGACAGACAGACAGACAGACAGACACAGACAGTGTTTTGAAAAACAGCTATAGAAGTGGTTCAAGATTAAAGTGATATGATGCATAAATACAGTAAGAGATCTAGGGGTTTATCCTGTACTGGAGGAGAAAGCTATAAATGTATCAGTGCCATGATTGGGTCAATTCATAAAATTAAAATACACACTTAACTTAGACATAAGCATGTGCCAGTATTTCAGTTTCAAGTCTTATATTTAAGACTACTATATATTTTCATGTATAGGTCCTAGAGAGACACTCATTTCCCTTGGCGAAATACCTAGGGAAAGGCCAGGGAAGGTAGCAGGTGTCCATTTAACTTTGTAAGTAACACACTGTATCGATGTTAAATTTTTTGAAATTGCTAGTTTTTCCTGAGGTATGTGAATTTCTTTCTACTGCTTTATAGAAAGTACTAGAAAGCACATCCATGTGCTCGTACATTTCTATTGATGGATGTGTACATGTTGTGGATGGTATTCACACAAGCAGAAGAGAGAGAGTGAATGCTAAAACAAATGTGAAGAGTGTTCACAATTGATGCATCTGGGTAAAGGGTGTCTGGGAGCTTTCTTAAAACTATATGCAAATGAAGAGTTAAAAAATAAACGCCATAGTAGCTCGTGGGGGGGGGGGGACAACTTCTGTATTTTAAAGGTCAGTAACATCTGTGCACTACCAAGATAAATTGCGGTCGTTCCGGTAGCACTCGCTGTAGAGCGTGGCCGTGCTGTTCTTCATTTCTGTGTCTTAAAATTTCCTGAAATGGGAACAGATTGTTAAGCAGAGCTCTTTCCCTGGATCAGTAGCCAAAACCCCGCCGATAGAATTGGAGATCAACTTCTTTATCCACATTTCCACTGTTGCGAGAAAATGAAGTAGGTGATAATTATCCGGCTGTGCTTCTAAGCCTTCAGCTTTAATATGAGACTGTGAACTTGGAAATGGTATTAGAAGGAAAAGCAACCCACGGAAGATGTGAAATCCCAGATATTTTAACCTCAGAAATCAGACGTCATGTGTTGAATTGACAATTTTACAGTACACAAGAGGAAGAAAATGTCATGTAGTTCTCATTTTTTTTTTTCAGACCCTGAGCTAGTCTTAAATGTGTCCTAGAAAACTGAATTTTTAGAGCAAATAAAGTTTGTAAAAACAAACCCAAGGTTGTTCCTCTCAGAGTATGTATTTTCCTGGAGTAGTATCATGGAGTATCACTACTCCTGCCTTCCCAGTATTTCTCAGAAGACTTCTTGAAGACTAGCTCCAGATTACGTGTTTAGGATATTATCTGTGTGTCCAAAGATAGTGTTTTCTGGACACGCAGAAACTGTTGACATTACAGAGGCCTGACCTTCAGACGGATTGTAAATCTGATCCCCAGGCCTAGAGATTCACTGAGCACCAGCACTTGTTGGAGATTTCATTCTTGTGTTAAATTTGTTTTCTTCTCTTTTAGCTTCAGCTTTATCAGTTGGGGTATTTCTGTAAATGCATTAGCTAGCATGCGTAGGAAAAGTGATCCCCTCTTTTATATCTCTACCTCCTTTTCTCATCACAAGTGTATCACCAAACGGGAAAACCATGCGTCTAGAATCCTGGTTTACTCAATGTAACATGGCTCCGTGAGAAACTTTCTTCTGTTAGTAATTAATACAGAGCAAAGCCTGCTGTCGTAGTGGAGGCTCATGGTGCTCATGAATTACAGACTGAAACGAATCTCAGAGTTTAGTCCATTAAAACATTTTAACTCAAAGTTGTGGACCAGGGAAAAGCTTTTTTTTTTTTTTTTTTTTTTTTTTTGTTTTTGTTGTTTTAATCTTTTTCTTTTTTTTTTTGGATCACTAATTAATGTTATAAGGAAAACCAAGACAGTGATATATGCATTGGAAATCTCTAGAAGAAGCAGGAAAAAACTTTATAAGGCACTTCTAGATAGTGTAAGTTGTTAGAACAGTGAAGAATTTAGTTTAGCCACTTTTGTGTCTGCTTAAAAAAAATATTTCTCTGTTTCCCATGGTATATTTATTTCATCCTTATAGTAGCTATAGTTCTAGGCAGTGCTCTGGCCCATTTGTGGATATTCCTACCACCCTTCGTCAACTGTCATTTTTAACTCATGACAGAGACAGACAGGAGCCCAACGATTTTCAGGGGATACACAGATGGACAGAATTCATGCCTGGGGCTGCCTTATCGCAGCCTGCAGCCTGCACCGGTGTGCATCATCATCTGAGAACTTGCAGGAAAGCCCCCCGCCCCATTCTCTTTCCCACCTGCCATCCACTTGCCTGACCTTCCTGAGCTCACTGGCATCCCAGAGGTCCTCTCTGCCATTAAGAACCAAACTGTCAAGTCCCTCAAAGCCATGAGGATTAATCCACACCCAGAAATAAAGAGAGCTGATAGAAGTGAGATTTGTAGCCGCTGGTCACCTTCACTTCACTCACCTGCCACCCTGCTCACCCGAATCAGGTGGCTATTTTCTGGTTGAGGCTGCCTCATTCTGGGCGTGCACTTTTGGTTTCCAATTTCTCTTTATTTTTCCAGTATTCATATTTTTTGATCTTTTGTTCTATAGATCTCTTGACTTACACTGCTAAACAATTTCAGTATACTGCTGCACAGGATACATAGGATGTAGACATCAAATACTTTTACTGAAATGGCATTTGAATTCAGTAATTGTTGCATATGTTTGGCGTCTTAGCATCTCCCGGCTCCAGCACCTGCTTAGCTGCTACGACTCCAGTGAGCCTGTGTTTCTGGGCGAGCGCTACGGCTATGGTCTGGGCACTGGTGGCTACAGCTACGTCACTGGAGGAGGGGGGTAAGTATGAGCCCGGCTGCGGACCGATACAGGGAGCGCTCGGTACACGTGGGTGCTCAGGTTCCATCCACCAAGCAGAGTATTTGTGCTTAACGTATGTAATCCTCTGGCATAAATCATTTCTAGATTATCTATAATACCTAGTATAATATAATAGCTTTTATGTTGTATTGTTTAGAGAATAATAAAGTATATGCACGTTTTCAATACAGATATGTTTTTAAAAAAACATTTTTGGTCTGTGGTTTTTTGAATTTCTGAATGTAAAATCCACGTAGAAAGCTGCCTGTAATTTGAACTCCAGCATCTCTTTCCTGAGGCAGAGGTGAGTCTGTGGTGCGGGGACCTATCCTGGCGTGTGCGTGCCCCTTAAGTGCTAGTGCCACTGTTAATGGGAGGGGGAGCGCTATAATTGTGAAAGGTAAAAAGAACCCTCAGTAAATAACATTTCACGTCTTGAAGAAGTAACATAGAAATGTATATCAGAGTCCTTGGGGAAAAGAACTTTCCCTGTAATAACAATTGCTGTAGGCAGCCAACTAGTTTTGACTGTCTGTTTAAATGAAAAAGATTACTTATTGATTTTAATTTCAGAAAATAAGCCGTAAGACTTTAAATTATCTAGTGCTTAGTAAATCATTTTTGGGGAAATAGTGTTATAGAAGCCTAGACATAGACAATTAGATATTTATGTTGGATTTATAGGTTTTAAATAACAGTTATAATCAGTTTTTTTTAATGAAGCACTAGCTTAATCTCTTATGGGAAAAGATTTTGATTTGATTTACATAGGTAAATCTATGCAGCTGTTATTATTTTCTATTATTACTATAGTCTTTGTTGTTGGGAAAATTAGGGAGAATGTTAACTTGTTATTACCTATAGTCATTTAAATTCTTTCAGCAGATGACTGTGAATGTTCCCTATATGCTAGCCAACTATATTCAGTGATTATAAACATTCCTATTTGCAGTCCCCAGATTAGAATGGTTCTTAGTACATTTTTTCAGTTACTGTAACAAAATACCTGAGACTGGGTTATATGTAAAATGAAGAGTTTCATTTAGCTGACAGTCGTGGAAATCCGAAAGTGTGGCATCTGCATGTGCTCAGCTTGGGTGAGAACCCTCTGGCTGTATCACAGGGTGAGAAACATGTGGCCACACTGTGTTCAAGAGGGAGAGATAGAATCAAGAAGCAAGAGATATTCAAGGACAGGCTCTCTGGTTTTATAATAACCCACTGTTATGGAGCCAACAAGGGTTTCTAGAGAACTGCAGTGATCCCTTCTGAGGGTAGTCCCCGTGGCCTAATCACTGTCCACTGGGCTTTACCCCTTAGAGGTTTCCCTGCCTTTCACTGTCTCTGCACTAGAGACCAGACTTCTAGCACGTGAACCTTCGGAAGTTACACTCAAACCTTTTCTGAGCCATAGCAAGATGTTTTGCTCTCCTTGTGCTCAGTAGAGTCTTTAAGTCCGGCCAGCTTTATCTTCCACAGCACTCTTCTACACCCTCGCCAGTCACCTATAGGTAGCTGCCATCTCTTACACGGGCTCCTGCCCAGCCTCCTGCTGCCTCTGCTTTTGCTCTTGTGCACTCTGTGCTGCTATCCCTACCATAATCAAGGAGCACTTTCTCCCCATCCCCAGCGTTTTCTTTGTTTTAGTGCTTGGGCTCAAGTCCAGGGCGTCACACGTGCTAGCCGAGTACTACCGCTGAGCTGCATCCCAGCCTTTCTGAGAGCCCTTTCTAAAAGCAGACGTCAGCCTCTCTGCTCCCTGCTCAGAGGCCTTCAGTGGCTTGCCATTGTCCTTTTCCCCAATGATGAGAACTTCTTACTTGACATCTGAGATGAAGATCCTTCAGATTTCACAGTTGATCTGTGATTTGGCCTCAGTTTTGATTGCCTGAGCAGCATCTTTCTTGAGTTGTGATGACACTGGCAGGTCTTCTCTTTCACCTGCTGCCCCAGCCCTAGCTTGCCCTGAAACCTGCATAGCTTGCTACTTAGGAAGGGGATCCTCACTTTAGAAATTCCTTCATTTAGATTTCAAGCCATCCGCCTCTCTTCAACAATTCCATGGTTACATCTAATTTTTCTTTTATTCATTTGATTCCTTGTAGTGCCACAGTATGTGCACCTGCTGCATCTTTGATAACTGAACTGGACCTAGAACTTCTCCCATGGCTTTTAGGGCAAAGCTTGCGCCCGTCTTAAGACTCATGCTACCTCTCGCGATAGCAGACTCTCTTCTTAGCCTCACTTTTCTGCAGCCTCGTTGAATGAGTTACTTTTACTTTTCTCATTGTGGAGCGAAAAACCTGAGACCCAAAGGTAAAGGAGAAAAGGTATTTTTAGCTCAGAGGCTGTAGAGATTTCAGTGCAGAATTGGCTGGCTGCAAGGCTGGGTGGTGTGGTAGAGGGTTATGTAAAAGGAGCATCCCAGAGGAGAAGCAGTTCACGTCAGGCAGAAGCTAACAGAGCAACAGAATAGTTAAGAGCAAGTCCATGTGACCTTGCAGCTTCCTTCCGCCCCCTTGTATTCTGTGTAGGCTACCAGGCTTAGGACAGTTGGCAGACCATTGAGTGGGCTGCTGTAGTGATCACGCAGCCCCGATCTCAGCGCCACACACTCCAGATCCAGGCCCCTCCGAAGACACCTCCACGAGTACATGGGGCTTGCGGCACAGCTGCATGCCAGCTGTAGCACTCATCCTGTAGTGTGGACACAGAGCTTTCGCAGTTCCTCAAAGATGTTTTTTCCCCCCAGATGTGGAGCCTGTTACTGTCCATAACACATCCCACATTTCTGGCTGCTAATTCCTCATTCTTCTGCACTCCGCAGCTATCATTGTTTTTATATTTTACTTCTAGAAGCCTCTAGCCAAGCCTAACCCCTCAAATCAGGGTGTAATGCCTCTCTAATGTATTCCATAGTGTGTTATACAAGCAGTTATCACTTAATTGCCTGTTTACTTTCCTATTTTCCTTTTAAATTATGAATTATTAGAAGGAAGCACCTGTGTCTTATTTTTCATTATGTTCCTACTTTGTGGCATAGGGATTCATTTTTTTCTAGGTGCATTGAGCATTTGATTTTTGTCTAATATGACCTATGAGATGCTTGTCTTTTAAAAGTACTTTTAGATTATCCAAGCCATCCTGTATACATACATAGATAAATCTCTGCTGATTTCTGCTGGTCTATGGAAAGGAGCAAGTAATGCTTAAATTTTTTTTCTCTTTTTAATTTATCATAACTTTTTCTAATTCTACATGCATATATCTGGTAATCTAAACAATTAAATTATGCAATTCAACAAATATTGTCAAATTATTATTTTGTTTAGTGAAACTATTGTTTCTAATTTTTTATAATTATTTTTTGTTCTTTTTAAAAAAGAAAAATAAACATGTGTTCATCTATCAAAATGTCACAGGGCACCAAATTAATATGTAACATTTTATGTATCTGCTTAAACAATACATTTAAAAATTTATTTTTATTTGCATTTAAATAAAAAATAGAATTACCATATGACCCAGAAAAAAGGTACTTTAACAAAGATGCCGAATGAGTTCTTTGTTAATTGTCCTTTGTATCAACTTTTTATAGAGCTTATTGACATAAAACTTACATGTTAAATTGTTTCTTCAGTACCGTACTAGGGTTTTCTTATAATCTGTCTGGAGAACTAACACATCTTTTAAAACAGCAGATCAGGATCAGTGGCTCCTAAGACCCATTCATGTACCATAACCAGCACTGTAAACTATGAAGTGGCAGACAGGCGCGGTGGAGGAAGAACAGTCTGTGGCCTCCCTTGCCCTCTATTCTATTTGAGCCATAAGCCTACTGGTCAGTCCCATGCACACCTAGGAATAGGGCTTCTGTCCTTAGTACATTCCTGCAGCCACACCCAGAACTATACTAAATGAATTCGTGGACTAAGCCAATAGCACACACCCAGGATCCAGCCAGCTCCCAAAAGCTCCACCTGGGAGTGTGCGAGGCGCTACAGGCATCTAGATAGATATAAGCCATAACATTCCCATATGCAGCACATGCAGATTCACAGTGTCTCTCTAGTTTTCTGAGTTTAGAGCCAAGTTACTGAAAAATCCCCTGCCCCAAACTCTCCTCCTTATGGACTGAGTCAGCAGGACTTGGAGTAGAATCTTTGCATTTTTGAATCCAAGTGCTGTTTTCCACTACATGGTCTACTCTATGAAAGAGTCAATATTTGGAGAAAATTAGTTAACTATTTTCATTTCTGATCATAGTTATGTACATAGGTGAGCTTAGGTAGGAAGCTGTTCCTGGGCTACCAGGTAGCGCCCACAGCAGCCCTGCTGACAACTGAGGGTACCAGAATAGGAAGGTTGCTGTTGTGCTCTGAAGAGGCCACGGCATTGTGATCGGAGAGACAGCCACGGTGTGTCCTCTTGCTGCAGACTGGGGAGGGCAGACATGTGTGACGCCGAGGTCCTCTCTGTGTGTTTCTCACCTCAGGGCATGGTCATGGGCAAGCCCATCTCCCATTTCAGTTATCTTAAAAATTTGTGCATTATATATTAACGGAACATTTTAATCTTTTCACCTTTGAATATTTTCTTAATATTTAAAATTTGGTATCCAGAGCAGACAAGTATTCTTTTCTACTGTGATATACTTGGTGATTTTCCTTTTGGGGTACAACTTTATATGGGAAAAACTCATGAACATACTGATAAATGTTATGAATGGCCTATGTATACTTAGTTTATGTGAATAATGTAAGACTTCTCTCTTTATTATAGGCAATAATGCAGTAATTATTCATAATTTCTTTTTTTTTTTTTTTTTTTTTTTTTTTTTTTTTTTTTGGCTATGG